TAACTTTAACATTTTCAACAAATATTATTTGGATTATGACTACTCATTCCTGCATTTGTATGTGCAGCTTCAAATTGATCCCAATGATCAGTGGATGAAGGATCTCCCAACTCACATAAAAATGAAGAATTTCAATGAGAGATTGAGCTATGAAATAACCAGCTTCGGGAACCTAGACATCAGTGATGCAGATCTGGTAAGTTCTATTACCCATGTCCAATTTGACTTTATCATGTCCAAAAAAATACTAACATTGCTTTAACTTTGAATTGGAATTAGATATTTTTCGCAGTTCATCGCCATGGTCACTACTTCTTGGTCTGCTTCAATGTGAAAGAACATAAAGTACAGGTCATTGACAACAAGGAGTTACCAGCTGGTGTTTCGGAGAAGGACAAATATGGCAACTGCCCACACTTATTGGTAATTTTGATAAAAAAAAAACTTGACATTCTTACCATTACCTATCTATTGACATAAAAGCATTATCAACACTAAACTAACTTTTCTGACCAGATTGAAGCATTCAGTGGTTACCTTAAGGCCGAGTGTCACTCCTTGTATGTGAAATTGCAAAAAGTTGATATAAAGTACCTTAAGTTGGACTGGGCAAACACTGAAAACGTCACTGATTGCGGGATCTATGTACTCCGTCATATGGAGACATTCCGAGGGACTCTACAAGACTGGCAGCCAGGATTCAAGAAAAATATGCGCTTGAATGTAAGACTACCATACATATTATAGTTTCAAAATACATTAAAAAATAAATAAAACTGCGAATGACTAATTACTTAATGTTCTTTGTTTATAGGCAAGCTTCATGTGTGAATTGCGAGCGAAATATGCTGCGAACCTCATAAAGTGGAGAATGAATGAAGTCAGGGGGGAGGTTCTGCAAGCGGCCAAAAGAGTTTCGAAGAAGAATTGAATGAATATTCTTCAACATGTTGACTGAATTCTAAACAATTAGAAAGTTTTTGTGAACTACATTGACAATGTGACTTGTATTTTGTGAATGTAGATGCATGATGTTAATAGCTAAATAACAATTTACATCTGATCTATGCACCTCTTTCTCTTTTCTCTTCTTTTCTTTTCTTTACTTTTTTTTTTTTTTTTTTTTTTTTTTTTTTGTTTTCATGTATCAAATCTATAATTGCATGACTACTATAAATCCAGAATTGCAAAACTATAGTTCCATAATTGCATAACTATAATTCCATAATTTCATAATTATAATTCCATAATTGTATATAAACAATTCCATAATTGCATAACTATAGTTCCATAATTGCGTAACAATAATACCATAATTGCAAAACTATACATCCATACTTGCATAACTATACACCACAATTTCATAACTACAAATTCCATCACAATGGGGACTACACATGCATAAATGCATAACTATATTTTCATAATTGAATGACTATAATTTCATAATTGCATACCTTTCATAATTGCATGACTACAATTCCATAATTGTATAACTATAATTCCATAATTTCATAACTACAGTTCCAAAATTGCAAAACTACATATCCAGAATTACAAAACTAAAACTGTATAATTGCATAAAATCAATGATAACAACTTGTATTTCTCAATCTACACCTACATTGTCATCTAAACCCTTACTAAACTGAACAAAATCTGAACTTGAAGAACTTGGATGTACAAGGTATCCATCCCCAGCAAGCTTGGATATGTTTTCCAACACCAAAGACTGAACAGCACCCTTTGTACTCAATGCAGCTTTATTTGCAGCACTCCTTCTCCCCCTTGCAAGACTGTACTTCTTTTCAATAACACCACTCCTCCTTTTGTTACGCTCACCTTTCAATCTCCGACTTGAAGGATTTTGAACACCACCACTTGAAGATGAAACACCACACTCTTCAATATGCACATGCCCAACCTCGGCTTCAACCTTTTTCTTTACATCATCAACAGCCTCGTCACACAGTTTCCTCGCTACGCTGCTATCTTGACTAGACACAACTAATCTTTGAAATTTTCTACTAATATCGAACACCCAAATTGATGGAGGAACACCAACATTATAAACCATAGAATCAATGTTGACATTCCTACCATCAATAACCTTTTTAGTCCATCTTTTAAGTATATATTTGTCGGGAATACTAGAAACACAATGTACGTGAAGAATGCGTATACAATGACAACATAGAATTCCCAACTCAGACATCAACTTACAACTACAAGAAATGTCCAAGTTGGCTGCGTTAAAACTAACCTCATGCCTTATAATATCTATATCTGGCCGCCACACGTGATACTTCTGTTGACGGCCATCATTCAACACCATCTCTTGATGACACGCACTGCCTTTCATGAATTGTTCCTCAAACAGAAAATATATCTCAATCGTGTATACCTCTCTAGCATGTGAAAGAAGTTTCACATGCTCCATCATCATAGCGGGTACCCCTTGAGCACACCGAAAGTCTTCACCGTTCTCTTTACTTCTCCATTCAGAAATTACGCTTACAAACGATGAATAGAAATCACAAAGACCCGCTGTCTTGGACAACCTTCTAGAAATCGAATGATTTGTAGTTTCACTCCTTTGTGATGATAGAATGCCCCCAGAAAAATAGTCCTTGTTAAATGCTGGACACCACTTCTCCCTACAGTCATATAGCTTTTCTAACCAAGTATTCTTGTGACATTTATAGTCAGTCACCAACCTGAAAATGGTAAGACAAAATCCCAAATGATTATGAAGCAGAATATTAACAAGCAGCATCACCACATCTAACACATACTCAGAATTTCTATTGCTCTATATACATAATTGGAATACTATATGTCCATAATTGATAGACTATATATCCATAATCCATACTACTACATTTCCAGACACCACCAGTAAGTTCAACTGCTATATATCCATAATCGGTATACTATATATCCATAATCGGAATACTATATATCCATAATCCATATACTACATTTCCAGACACCACCACTGCTATATATCCATAATCGAAATACTATATATCCATAATTGATGCACTATACATCCATAATTACAAACGTAATGCAATAAAAACGATTAATTACTAACATACCTTGTCCAATAGAATTGAAATTCAGCTTCGGTCTCTGTGTATTTCAACACGTAGTTAAACATATCCAAGAAATCTTTATTGCTCCTTAACGTCTTGATATGCTTCTTTGAATTCTCACCGATATGCCATATGCAAAGACGATGACGTGATGTTGGAAACACTTTAGATATAGCAGCAGCCATAGCTGCACATTGATCTGTCATAATAGTCTGTGGAGACTTGCCACCCATTGATCTTGAAAACACTTTAAACAACCACACAAACGATTCTATCCTCTCGTTCATCAAAAACCCGCATCCAAACATTACATTCATGCAATGGTGATTCATCCCTACGAAAGGGGCACAAATCATATCGTATTTGTTTGTGCGATATGTCGTATCATGCACTAACAAGTCCCCAAACACCTCGTAATCTCGTCTCATTTGACCATCCCTCCAAAAAAAACTGCACAACCTTGCATCCAAGTCAAGTTCAAAATCAAAGAAAAAATCAGTCTCGGTAGACTGCCTCCTCCTAAAAATTTCAATTAAAGAGTTAGAATCCGTTCCATCCAATCGCTTGACAGTATCCGCAGCCATTGAATTATAAGCATCTCTACTGGTGAAACCAACTAAAGGGGACCCCCCCCCCCCCCCCCGATTGGTGTTTTAGGAACCTAATACCATCTGCCAATGCAACACCACTGTCCTTCAAACCTTGTAAATATAAGAGCTGATTATCTCCGACACTCCTATGTGAACGAAGTAGATGACTCTTGTTGAACACACATAACTCGTGATTGTGCACTTTCTCGTGTTTCGTAACTGTCCACAACCCATCATCACCCACGTCAAATTGAACAAACGCTCCACACCCTGTCCTTGTGTCAATTTTGGAATAAGCCTTAACCCCACTGTTAGCCTTGTAACCAGCCTTAGAACAACAAAATTTCTTCATTTGAATTGTGTTCGAAGATCCCTTGTATCGTTGATGACCCTTCCTCACACTAAAACCAAGTCTATATGCATAACTGTTATACACCTCAAAAGCCTCATCAGCATTACTTACTACCAAACCAACCAAATCTTGATCAACTGCAAATATAACACAATAATAACCATTTCCATTAACACATAATTCCTAACCATAATTTGCTAATTAAAAGGTAAACCACTATGAATAAACCTGGAATTGATGAAGATCCATCAACATCTACATCTACTTGATCTGAACTCACTGAACCATCCACAATGCCTTCACTAACTACATTATATAGACATGGTGAACATTAATTCAAACAGTTCATCAAACAGAAAAAACAGAGTGTCTACAGATTCTGTATATATAGTTATATGATTATGGAAATATAGTTATACAATTCTGGATACACAGTCGCAACAAACTGCCAAAACAGAGTACCCCTAATTCTGAATATATAGACATGCAATTCTGGAAATATAGTTATGAAATTATGGAATTATTGTTTTCAAATTCTGAAATTGTTGTTACACAATTATGGAAATTACTTACGTGATTTTGCACAACTATTTGCAGATTCTAGACACAAACATCACTGCTAATCACATAATCATACAAAAAACCAAAAGGAACGATTGCAAAAACAATAACAAGATCACCTTGAATCGAATGCCAATCATCAACTGCGGAATTCGTCTGCTCTGTTCCATCCTCCATCTATCAATCACTTTGTAATTCCCGATTTCGATTTGCGATTGCGATTGCGATTTGCGAATGCGATTGAGATTGCGATCGCGATTCCGGTGATATCGAATGCCAATACCACAGCGAACAACTGCCAACGATCGAGTTTGAAACTTGGAAACAAACTCAAAAGGAATTTGGAAGTAAACGCCGTTAACGGAATTATTTTTTTTTTTTTTATAAAACCCCGCGTCATTAGGCTAAAACGACGTCGTGTGGATCTGTATGCACCATGCATGGTGCATACAGATCCACAGCATAATTTGCCAGCAAAGACCTTTTAACAAACCATATTCTTGTGCATCACATTCATTGACATGGTTGACAGTAGGGTATGAACTCTTCAGAATCCTGTCAACCAAAACAATTTTTATGATGAATCAAATGAATATTCAGTTGACCACCAAATGTTGAATACTTAAAAGTTATGGCTAATACTGAACCTCTTCATCCAAATCTTCATCCCTTGGTTGCAATTCAGAAGCTAGGTGCTTTACAGGTGAATCCAACTCTTGGGACAATAGGCTGAGACCAATTTAGGATCATCCTTAACCTTCACAACAGTGAAGGCATAAACTTTACCCTCTTTGAAAACCTTAAGATACTTAACAACATGCTCATATGAGTATGTAGGTAGGTTACCTGGATAGAGAAAAAAATTAGAATACCAAAAATTATATCACGATATAAAATGAAAACATAAGGCAACATTCTGGAAAATAAAATTATACGAACCAAAAATGAAAAAAAAAAATGTAAACACCATTACTATTAGATGTAAACCAAACACTCTTTTGTTTAGTATTTTCTGTCGCATATCTGGAAAATACGTATGAACACAAAATACACATATTCTTTATCATTGCAATTTCTTTTTTATCATTATACTGTGTCGCCTATATGATTAGAATATAAACATTATATTATAATATAAATATAAGATCAATATACCTGTTGATCATGAAATATACACCCCTTGGATTTGATTGATTCGCTGCCCCTTTCTCTCTGCCACTTCGTAGGTACATGCTTTAATAGCAGACGTTGTAGGAGAGATCTGGCTTGCGATGATAAGCGTTGGATCTATCATCGTGTGATGTTTGTATTCTATATAAACACTATCTCAAGAAGTTTTGGAGGCTCTGAACTACCTATCTTCTAAAGAACTCAACCTATTTATAATGATGTGTATCCTATTTGAAATTTGAAATCTGTAAAACAGATATGATTACCATTGTTTATAGAAACAATGATTCTCGAAAAGTGAAAGCCGGCTCTTCGTATTAACCACGCTTCATCGGAAGTGTAAACGACAACATATTATCTGACTATTTGAGATTTAAAAAGAAAAACGCAATTGCGTATCCAACCTTGGGTATACCATCAATATAACTCCGCATGAAACGACAGTGTTTTAATTGAGCGGGAATTTTTGGCCTGTTTGTGATTCCCTAGGCTTGTGGCTTTTTTATATAGTAAGATAAGATATATATATATATATATATATATATATATATATATATATATATATATATATATATATATTTGCCTTTTCGAATAATACAATTGTTAAATTTGGAACCAATACTTTTTATTTGCCTTTCGTATCACATTACAATATATGCACATTTCATGGTAAATGGTAATGTTAGGACTCTATAGACTACGGTACGGTCCTAATGGAAAGAATTACGGAGTATTATCTTCTGTATATATTGTTGTGAATCTTGTGATGTACTTTTTGGTGTTTGCCTAATATAGAAATATCATTCTCATTTAGCTAGTCTACAAATTTAATAACAGCCAATAAAGTTAGTTTCTTAACGGAAACAAAAAAATGTACTGTCAGTGTAAATGTGTAATTGTGTGTTGAAATAAATAGTTCATATTATTTTAATTTTAGTAATTTTTTTAATTACTCTCTATTATATTAATTTCTTTTTCTTGCCTTAAATAATCATGTAAAACTATGATGAAAGCTCAATTCATTACTCACTGGACAAGGGATTGCAGTAAAAAGGTGAAAACTGAGAGCTGAAAGACAAAGTGTATTCTCTCTATTTTGGAAGTTACAAAAGAAGAAGGAAGTAAATAGCTTCTAATATATCCACTGTGTAAGGCTATAACATGACGGTTATAACAGAAACTGGACACACTAGAAAAGACAAGAAAGCCCTTGTTATTTTGTGTACTTTGTCACCCCCCCCCCCCACACACCCCCCGCCCTGTAAGCTGGAGCATGAATATCTTGAAGGCCCAACTTAGAGTGAAAGACATCAAAGTTCAATCTTGGAAGAGACTTTGTGAATCCATCAGCCAACTGTTTCTGTGAAGGAATGGATAGCAGCTTGATTACTTTTTCATTTACCTTTTGTTTCACCACATGACAATCTATCTCAATATGTTTTGTGCGTCCATGAAACACATGATTCTCTCCTATAGCAATAACAGATAGGTTGTCACAGAACAAGGTTGTAGGGCTGTTTGGTTTCACCTTTAAGTCTTCAAGTAGGTAGAGTAGCCACTGTATTTCACAAACAGTAGAAGCCAAGACTCTATATTCTGCTTCTGAAGATGATCTTGACACAGTGACTTGCTTCTTTGTTTTCCAAGATATTAGAGATTCCCCAACAAAAATGCAGTAACCAGTGATTGATTTTCTTGTCTCTGAACAAGTAGCCCAATCAGAGTCAGAAAATCCTTGCAGCTTTAATTGAGAGTGTGATGGATAGAACAAGCCTTTTCCAGGGGAACCTTTAAGGTATCTTAACACCCTATGAGCAGCCATAAGGTGTGTATCCATGGGCTTGTCAACAAATTGGCTCAATTGTTGGACAGCAAAAGAGATTTCTAGCCTTGTGTTTGTAAGATAGAGAAGCTTGCCAACCAATCTTCTAAAGTCTTCAGGTTTGGCAAGAGCTGTACCTTCTAGGCTACTGAGTTTTTGGCTTGTAGTTACTGGTGTGCTTGTAGGCTTAGCATCCAAAAAACCATTCTCCTGTAGTATTTCTAATGTATATTTCCTTTGGCACAAGTTAAGGCCATTGGGGGTTCTAAAAGCTTCAATCCCTAAGAAGTAATTCAAATGACCAAGGTCCTTTATTTTGAAAACTTTGTCCAGAAAATTCTTCAATTCTGTAATCTGCTCAAGAATCTGTACCAGTAACCAGTATATGATCATCAACATATATCAATAAGGCCATGAATGAAGTACCTGAGGTTTTGTCTAGAGTAGATAGCTAAATTATTGAGTATAGTGATTTTGTCATGTTTAGTCCTAAACATTTAAATTGATCATCTGTAGTCCTTCAACCTCCAAATTGCGCATGGCGACCTTTATAGTTGAATATAATCTTAAGGATTTTTATGTTGTTTGTGCAGCATTGGGGGGAGTCTAGGTCAGGAAGATCAGGAGGGTGGAGTATAAAATGTGACGGTGAAAACCGCTACTTGACGACCATGGTCCACCTAGCACTGTGAACCATGGTCCACAGTATAACAACTGCATTGACTTCAATCATTATATCATAGATAATGGTCTACCCTGTAAGGTGGCATGGTCTACTGACATGTGGTACATTTTTAATATACTAGAAGTACATTTTTAATAAACTAAAAGTTCGTTTTTAAATTAAAGGTACATTATTTGCACACTAAAGGCTCATTATTTGATATATAGAGTATCAAATAATGAATCTTTTTTTTTAAACAAATAATGAATCTTTAATACACAAATAATGTATATTGAGTATATTATATTAAAAACGAACACTTATTCATGATTCACATTACAGTGAGGACCATAATCCATAATATATTTTGTCCATTGACTTTGTACATATTGATTTTTGAATTAATAAATTGATGATTATTTATAAAATTAAAAAAAAAAAAAAAGAAAAAAAAAAGAACTAAAAGTCTACCTATTACTTTTAGATTTGCTTATCACCTAATAACGAACATGGGGCAGTTGAATAAATGAGAACATTACCTTGTTGGATGTAAAGAGCCTTAAGATCAGACAACGTAACATAAAATACAAGAGATTTAGGCGACAAGTCTATTAGTACAATAACTTAGGTTTAGGCTCGGCATGGATGCAGGAGAGATGGCGGCGGCACATATTTAAGGTTGAAAAGCACATGCATGCATGCACAGGGTCTGATGAAAATAGTAAGATTTAAGGTGTGTTTGGTTTGCAATGAGAATTGGAATCGAAATATAATGAGAATAAAATATTTAGTAAAAGTATTTTGTATGTTTGGTAGTAAGGTAGAATTAGAATTATTATTAATATTGATGTGTTGGTTGTGTATAATCTTATAACGGGAATAAATGTTTTAAAAATACAAAAATAAAAAATCAAGGTAACTATTTCTAATATAATGACATCCAAAGCATGAATATGAACAAAAGAAATCTAAAAAATACAAACTCAAGCTTAAAAATTATATTACCAATAAGATGGATGGAATGATACTTCTTTTTAATTAGAGAATGAGATTTTTAATTGAAAAAGTAATCAAATCATGTAGTTATGTGTTAAAAAGTTATCAACTAAACATTAATTATAATTTTTATTCTCATTTCTATTCTATAAATCCATGAATCAAACACACCATTAATTTGCTTGAAATGGAATAGTTACATCTAACGTGATAATAGAGCTCATTGTGAGCACCATCCAGTGGTCCTATTATTTAAGACACTGTGATTTACCTTTAATTTTCATTGTTTTGTGGGCTATTAGGACGGGAGATATCAACCAATCAAATACAAGGAATTTGATAACGTAACGTTATCGTAACTAGTTTAATATTAATTTCATTGTCTGTTGACTTTCTGCTGCTTGTGCTGTGGATATATATACAACTGTCAGCATTTCTGCCCACATTTCCCCTTTTGGGTTTTCCATATGAATTAGGCAATGGCATGAAGCATGCATATAGTAACATGCTCAGTATCCAAAGCTCAATGATTTTCAATAATTTCATTTTGAAACGCAAACAACTACATATATATTCAAGACTGCAGGGAATATAATGTCTGAGAAGAACAACGAGGTTAATTTGAAAAGGTTAGTAAGCAAAAAGAAGGACAATACACATGCAATTTAGTTTAATTAAGTTAACGTGATATTTTCTACATTTAACAATACAATATGTTTTGAATTTAGCATGGTTTAAGAAAAATATAGGTGGCGTAGTATTTAAACTAGACACTCTAAAAAAAAAAAAAAAGAGTCGTAGATGAATTAATCAGCGTAATATGAAATAATGGTAAGGACTTAATATTGACCATGCATTCATAGATATTAGAGCGGGTCATGGTAGCCGCGCCAATGTTGTAATGGAATTGTTTGACGGAATGATTGAATATAATATATTATATATGCAAGTATAAAGAAGTAATATTGTATTTGTGTCTTTGCTGTTATAATTTTGACATAATCTGTGTTAAGCGATTAATCTTGTCTTGTTAAATTATAACTTATATAATAATAATAATAAGCAAAGCGGTTAAACGATACACACATGTTGATGAGAACAATAAATTTGAGAAGAATAGTAATTCTGGAAGAGTAAATTGTTATGGAGCACCCTGAAATTATATAATATATATACATGAAGGGACTATTTATATGGATACAAAGAGTCCCAGTCAGGATAGAAATGATAAACAATATATATGGAAAATAAATTCGTATCCCAACAGGATAGAAATGATAAATTGTAACATTCCTAATAATATAGGGAGAGGGAAAATAAATTCTAATGTACCTAGAATACAAAATCTTTGCATGCTGCATAGTTCTATAAATAACCTCTTCTCTTCTTCAACTTCTCACCACTGCTCTCTCCTTCTATCTCTCTACAATACATACAATCCATCATCATATACATACAAACATATCATGGCTGTGTGCAAACATTGTTTCTCACTTATTGTCTTCATCACCTTTTTGTACGTAACATGTACACTAGCAGCCAATCCTAATTACAACGTTCAAAGCTATGGAGCAAAAGCCGATGGTAAGAGTGACTCCACCAAAGCTTTTTTGGCCGCATGGGCGGCGGCCTGTGCCTCCACTTCCCCGGCCACCGTTTACATCCCGGTGGGAAGGTTCCTGCTAGGCAGTGCGACCACATTTGAGGGCCAAACATGCAAGAGCAAAGCCATAAAGTTTCAAATAGATGGAACCATTGTGGTCCCAACGGACTACAATGTGATTGGAAAGGCTGATAATTGGATCAAATTTGTATGGGTAACCGAAGTTTCCATCGTCGGTGGAACCCTAGACGCCAATGGCGCTGCTCTTTGGTCTTGCAAAAGCTCCGGCAAGAGTTGCCCTGATGGAGCTGGGGTACGTACATACACAATCTTAAACCTGCATATATATGTAATGATTTAAAGAATAAGATTTAAATAGGTATCTAAGCACACATAATGCAATTAGGTCTAAACTAACCAATCTCATGCAATTAGCGAAGGTTTTTCGAGTTTCTAACCAATCATCTAAATTTAAAATATTTTTAAAAAATAATTATTTAAAAGAAAAAAACAGCTCCAGGTCTCGGTCTCCGGCCAAGCTTCCACTTTTAATTTGATTGCTTTCTTCGTCTCCGTCTCCGGCCAAACTTCCACTTTTGATTGATTTCTACGCCAAAACGAAGCTCCGTCGGCCGAAGTTTTCGTCATCAACCAGAAAAGAAGCGTAAAGAATGGCGACGTTGACGGTTATGGACCCAAATCCAACTCCAAAGCTGGTTTTCGAGCCGCCGGCGACTCGATCCGGTACATTAACCGCTCTTCCGACGCCGAAAGCACCGTCCTCAGTAGCGACCGGTACAGACACGACCACCGCCGAAGAAGTGAGAGCACTGGCAGTCATTGGCCTTCCATCACCAACCACCAAAGGCTGAACCACCTGCCGATCGCGAAGCAGTAGCAAGACCACCGCTATCTTCTGTGGCCGGAGCTAGGGTTCCGCTTGGGGTCGTCGAACTTAACTTAGGCCGGTTGAACAGGTAGCCGAGACCAACCCCGCCATCTTTTTCATTGTTAGTCTCTTCGTTTCGCCGGAAAGTCGCCGGCTGCGCACTGTCTCCCGGAAAATCTGCAGGTCGCCAATCAGAGATTGGACCAGGGCCGGACGATTGTGACTCCACCACAAGACCATCCACGCCAGCCAACCATGATCGGACGTCTGGATCACCGTCAAACCTGTCGTCGTCATAATCTGGGAACGATTACGAGAAATCGTAGTTGGTCTCCGATAATCAATTTGACGTTTTTTTAAATAATTATTTTTAGGTTTTCAAAAAAAAAAATATTTTTAAAAACCTAGAAAATTAAATCTGTAAATGGGATTAATGGGCCTAATTGCATTATTGTGTCCAGTTCTATGACCTATTTGACTCTTATTTTAGCTTTGGTTTTAACAAATTTTTCTAACTTTTTGTAAATATATACATACGTATTTATGTACAGACACTAGCGTTTTACAACTCAAACAATATTGTTATCGACGGACTAAGTTCAAAAAACAGTCAGAAGTTTCACATTCGCATTGAAAGCTGCCATAACGCCAAGTTACAAGGAGTGAAAGTGTCGGCTGCGGGAAACAGCCCCAACACCGACGGAATCCACGTGCAGTTGTCAACAGGTGTCACAATCTTGAATTCTCATATCGGCACGGGTGACGACTGTATCTCCATTGGTCCGGGGAACTCCAACTTGTGGATTGAAAATATCGCGTGCGGCCCCGGTCACGGAATTAGGTCGGTCAAATTCAAAAACATTCTTAAACACCTTTAATTTACTTTATTGATGAATAAGAATCTTAATTAAGGAATCTTTGTTATATATGTTTGTGTGCAGCATTGGGAGTTTAGGTTGGAAAGAGCAGGAGGCTGGAGTACAAAATGTGACGGTTAAAACCGCTACTTTTACCGGCACTCAGAATGGGTTGAGGATCAAAACGTGGGCAAGGCCAAGTAATGGGTTTGTGAAAAATGTTGTTTTCCAACACGCAGTCATGTCTAATGTTAAACACCCCATCATCATCGACCAAAATTACTGTCCTAACAACCAAAACTGTCCTCATCAGGTACGGTCAATCATTCATGCATATTCCTTAGCTTGTTCCACCACCATCCTCAAAACTACCTTAAAAACATCAAAAACAGAAAATGATGTTCCGATGCTAATTAAATATGTTTTATACATGATTAATTATGACAGGGGTCGGGCGTGAAGATAAGCAACATAAAGTATAAAGACATACATGGTACATCGGCGACGAAAGTGGCGATGACTTTCGAGTGC